CTATTTACCACAAGAATTTATAGAGCTTAACATTTGGTATGATGGGTCGACTGATCCCTCTTGACATCTGCGAAGCTTTGAAGATATGGCAGTGCTGCATCATTACAATGAACCGGTCCAATGTCGAGCATTATTGACGACTCTACAAGAACCTGCGCAAGATTGGTTCCATCAATTGCCTCTAGGAGCCATCAGAAACTTTGATGGGTTCAGCTCGAGTTTCCTCAACCTGTTCGCAAGTGTCAAAGCCCAAGAAAAGTCATATCTTACCCTGATAGGTATGCAATAGAAAGAAGGAGAGTCATTGCGGGACTATGTGGTGAGGTATACCTGGGCTTGTGTCGACGTGCCCTCGGCCACAAAGGAAATCAAGTTGGGAGGACTGACTAGAGGACTGCTACCAAGTTTATGCAGAAACTCTTTGGCGAAGCGGCCTGGTAGGACATTTGATAAAGTCTTGGGAAGGTGTGCGAAATATATGAATATTGAGGAAGCTGAAGCTGACTTCTTGCATGCGGTAAAGATGAAAATTGAACCTCTAGACGAGAAGAAGGACTAAAGGCAAACTCGTTGGAAGAAAGAAGAGGATCCCCGAGAGCAGAGAGAGGGATGATCTAGGGGATGGAGGCCGACTCAATACACCCCTTTATCGGCCCCTCAAGCAAAAATATTGGAAGTAATGGAAAAGGAGATCCATAATAATGATGTCAGATGTCCCAGGATGAGGAAGTATGGACCAACAAAGCCACAGAGTAACTTGTATTGTCGATTTCACAGACTACGGGCACAATACTGGCAATTGCAGGTACCTCGAAGACGAGATCGAAAGGTTGAACAAAGCTGGCACATCAAGGAATTCATATACAATGACCGTGAAAGGAGGAGCAGTAGGAGGGAACGAAGTAAGAGCCCGCGCAAAAGGGCAAGATCACCTGAATGTTAGAGGTATGCTGTAAAAGCTGTGTTTTGCAGTTTCTATCAATTCCATTTTGATATGGCAATCATGTTTCAGTCAAAGTACATATGTTTGCAGTTTATTTATTTATGCAATACATACTCCATGTCTTATATTGAGATAGTGTGGTTCGAAGAGTTTCGAACGGAAAGATCACCTATCGGTTCCTTATAAGACTAAACTATTCGTTCACAGTCTAGACTGGCAGTGAGACCCCA